AGATATGTGTAGGGGTTGGGGTGGAGGGTAAAGCGCACAAATACACCTTCTACTTTCCTATCTCAGAGCCCTTGCTGGCTCTCAACTGACACCCCCCTCAGTTCTGAATCCCCCCCCAGTTCAAGGCCCAGTGTATGTCTCTTCTGTGAAGCCCTACAGGTCTTCCCCTGCTAGGAGCTCTCTCTCCCTCTTGGTGGTACTTTTCAAACCAAGGTGACCCAGGGGCCTCACACCTTGACCCTGAGTAGCCTGTCCTGCAGGGCAATGTCCTGTGTGTCTGTCCCCTCCCAGTGCCTAGAGCAGCCCTTCCAGAGGGCAAAGGCTTGGGAGCACTTCCTCAGCACACGGAAGTGTAAACAGGGAGTCACATGGGGAGGCAAGAGCTTCTGCCCTAATGTGAAGCCCACGACTCAAGAGACGTCAGGGGGCAGTGGCCTAATGTGACCTGGGGCTCTAGCCGGTCACCCTCTCCAGCCTAGCCCTCCCTGACGAAGCCCAGTAGGAGGCGGCTGAGGAAGTGCCTGCTGCAGGGGGTGCAGGGAGAGGCTATGCCCAGGACGGGCACAGGAACCACCCCTGGAGGCTGCTGGGGGTACCCCACCTGACAGAGCTGGCCCTGACCTGGCACCTCAGGGCAGCTGCTTCTACCCTGGGTGGCCCACATTTCTTCAGAGCTCATCATAGGGTAACCGGCTCGTCCCAGTTTGCCAGGGGCTAGATCGGCTTTAAAACCGAAAGTCTTGAGTTCTTGAAACCCTATTAGTCCTGGGAAAACTGGTAGCTGGGTAAGCGGAGGCTGGTCCTCACAGCTCTTAGCATCTGATCCCAAAAAGTCCCCAAGGGTGTGGCTACAAAGACGAGGGACACTGGGTGCGGGTGAGGGGTGAAGCCTGGGCTTATCTACAGCCCAGAAACCAAGAGCAAGAGACCAGGCCTCCTGCCACAGCCCCAGCCTCCGGTCTAGGAGGGGCACCCTTCGCCGTGAGCTGCCTCATCACCTTTCCTGCGGACGATGAACTCAAACTTGGCTGGCACCAGCGTGTCCAGGCTGATGTTGATGGCGCTGAGACCAGCCTTCTGGAGCTGAGGCAGCAGCCGGGCTAGGTTGATACCGTTGGTGGTGACACCGATGGTCCTCAGTCCCTCCAGCCGATGGAGCTGGGCTGCAGAAAGAGTGGGAGGAGGCATCAACCTACTTGTTTTGGTGAGGCCGGGAGAAGGGCTGAGTACAAATAAGGTGGATGGAAAAGGAGCTCGCTCTGGACCTCAACTAACCAAGCTTAGTTTAATAACAAACATAAGAATAAAAACAATGATAAAAATAACCTGAAGATGAAACAGTGAGTGTTCACTGTGCTAGAGGCTCTGCTGAGGGCTCTGCGTGCATGAACTCACTGAAGCGTCACAATAATGAGCCCCATTTAATAGACAAGGGAAGGGAGGCTCAGGGGGATTAAGAAAATTGCTTCAAGTCACACAGCTAGTAAGAGAAAGAGCTGAGAGTCAAATCCATGTTGTAGGTGACTCCAGAACTATGCTCTAAACTCACAGGTTCTGATACTCTGCTTTGGATTATGTACTAAACTGACTTCTCCATTCCACCAAAAATCTCCAGAAATAAGAGAAAGATTAAAAAATAACCCATAACAGCATTGAAAAGCAAGAAACAATGTCCTCAATGGCCCAGAAGGGTGGAGAAATACCGAAAGATAGAAAGCAGAGGGGTATCAGATGGGTTGAGGAGATCACGGCCCAAAGCACACACAGGAGAAGGTTCTGTACAGAGTGGGAGGGTGACTGGCATGACCGTGCTGAGCAGTTACATTGACAGGGAGCAGAAGGGTCCTTGGTTATGTCAAGGAAGTTGCCTTGCTGGGGAATTATATTTGGATGAGTTGGGCAAGTTGACCTCCCTCCCACTCCTCGGAGCAGGGAGAAGACAGCAGCTTTTACCCTAAGGCTAGAGCACTTTAGCCAAACAGGGTGGGGGAAGCTACTGAGAGTCAGGAGACGTGAGAGCCCAGAAGCCCAGAGGCCTTCCGGAAACTCATGCCTCTACCCACAACCTGAGGGGCACCCAGCATAAACAGAAACAGTATTGACGGCCAGGCCAACAGAGGCCTTGGGCACTGAGATGAGTACAGCCAAGAATCAGCAAACAAATGACAAGCAAAATAGAGACAGACTCATAGGTAACAGACTGACAGCTGTCAGTGGGAGGTGGGGGCACAGGGAGGGAGGAGTGGAGGGATAGAGCAAAAAAGGGAAAAAACGAGAAAAAAAATTAATAGACACGGACAACAGTGTGAATGCCG